AATTTGATAAAATCTTATCCTAAACAATGGCTGCATCTCATATTTCCTGTGAAATAATATTTGTTACGTGGGGTTTTTATTTGAATTTGTTGAAAATCACACTGCCCCAATTTTTGAGGTGCGACAAGCAGATTTTATAGCCTTTAGATAAATGCGTGGAATTCATTGTATTTCCTTAACTGAAGGTTAAATCGCCTATAACGCAATGAACGTACCGAATATTAGGGTAGACTTAGTTTTACCAATTTTCACAAAGAGATTGCAAACAAGAAGATAATGATATAGATGTATTTGATTCAAATGTCCTTCACTGTCTAAAAGCCGAAATTTAAGCGTAGAGCATGGAACCCTTAGATATGATTTATCGTCCACAACAACAAGAGGATTTGATCACTTAGTTAACAGGAAAGTCACATTCGTCTTAAGTTACCACTCTTTAAGAAAAAGCTTGCAGCATTTTTAAGATGTGATTTTGATATGATTTTGGGGGTAAGTCTCTAGTATATTAAGTGAACACAGTAAGAATACGTTCTAAGTAAGTATTGTTGGCCCCGAATTGACTAAATATATTAATCCCAAAAGGACTGAATCATAAAATTAGTGCAAGATGGAGACTATTTTAAGTCAAATTTTCAACTTATTAATAATATGTTATGATTGAGAAAAAATACTTTCGCAGGTTTGAAGTTCATCAGTCGATTGTAAATATATAATAAGGAATTGAATATTTTCATTATCCATAGCTTTGATAATTTCTTAAAAATTTGAAATGGAAACAAATAATCATTGGCTGTTCAAAATAATTGTACAGTGGTAGCAGTTTAATGTGCTGAGAGTTTATCAATGAATACGGTAGCATGAAATCATGTATATTTTATCATAGAAAATAATGAATTACATATTTAAAACAGTCTTATAAAGAATTTGATGTCTAAATTGAAGTTATCACACGTGAAATTACAACACTCAAGGTCTTTACCTTATGGCGGTCAATTCACTGTGTCTATAGCCGTGTCCTCCCTAGTATTAAGGTTTGTAACTCTAAGCCTGAGTAAGCATGTCACTTCGGAGTATTGTTCGAATACATAATCAATTATCATATTTTAAGCCGCTGACATCTCGACTTATTCAGACTTCAAGTATGAATTTTATATAATTGATTTTTATCTAATTAGCAAGAAGACTTTCCGGAGATTATGAATTTAAAGATCCAAAATCACCTGAGGAAATGTAATGTTAATTGATGCATTTGATTTAGTATCGTTAGTGTAACTGTTTATTTTAAAGATAAGGATGGGGGTGTAAAGAAGGTAGCTGGAAAAGTTGGGGACAATCTTATGTATCTTGCACATCGATATAGAGTCGATATTGAAGGCGCATGCGAAGCCTCTTGTGCCTGTTCTACTTGTCACGTTTTCGTCAAGGATGAATTCTTTGATAAACTTCCAGATGCAGCGGACGAAGAAAATGATATGCTTGATCAAGCGCCTTTCCTTAAACCCAACTCCAGATTAGGTAAGATATAATTCTAATCTTTAATCATTTACCTTCCTTACCTATAGCTTGTCAAATAATTTTAGCCAAGGAATTGGATGGAATTGAGGTAGAATTACCCCCCGCAACTAGAAATTTTTATGTTGATGGACACAAGCCCGAACCCCACTAAAAATAGTTTCATTTAATTTTGTAATATTCTTATTTTATCACGAAAATAAATCTTTTAATCTCACTAAGATTTGTCTTTTCGTTGGAATTTTTTGCCTCTTGTGGTTGATCTCATGAAGCTTGATTTTATAAGCTCATGTTGAGCAATCAAACAGATGATCGATACAAGGCTTGCAGAATTTGGGAGCAAATATTAACTACAGAGAGTGATTTCATACAATCGTCCGGAGATCATCTTGAACTTTTCAAATCTGCAAAATCGCCATCTGTGTACTACTCGAGAATACTTAATTACACTAAGTGCGGAAATACTAGTCAATCATTAAATAATTTACACAAACTAATATCAGATTTACATAACGAGGCAGTGTATTGCAAAAGTTCGCAAAAAGCCGGAGCACTTCGAGAAGAAGGCAATGCCTACTTTAGGTTAGGCGGTTAATTTTCCTAATCAAAATTACTCTAGATTGAAAAATTATCAGCTTGCTTCAGAATCCTACAGAAAAGGTCTCTTAGTTGCTCCTCAGAAATCGAAGGAATTTGCTTTACTCCACGGTAACCTCTCGGCAGCACTTCTACACCAATCCAAATGGGCTGCCTGTGTATGGCATACGTGCTTAGCCTTGAAATATCTCAAGGAAAACGATGCCCCCATAAACAGGCGATTGAATCTGAGGTTGGGGGAAGCGCTGGAGAAGCTTCACAAAAGAGATTTGATTGGATTGAATAATTGCTACGAATGGATTTCGCATTGTAGGAATGAAGAATTTGAAGACAATGAACAGGAAGAGCGATACGGAGTAGTCAATGTACCTAAACCAAAATATGGTCGTGGTGATGTAAGTGAATATGAAATTCATTAACGCCTTCTTTTAGCCCAAGGCCTTTTCTAGTCAGTTAATAGTAAAAGAGTCCCCGGAAAAAGGGAGATATGTTATTAGTAAAGGCAATTTTACTGCTGGAGATGTCTTAGCTAGTGAGCCTGCTGGTGGTTGGCATGGAGGCGATTTCACAGATTCCGAGATTTCAAGGGAAGAGCTTGCTGTTTCATCCTGTATTCTACTGCCCTTTCAACGCCATAATCGATGTTTCGCATGTCATAATCACTTGGAGAGCATAGGATACATTTGTCTTGATTGCAATGATGCAGCATTTTGTGGTCCGCCGTCAATTTGTTTTTCCAAACATTTTAAAGGAGATCACTTTGAAATTCCACAATGGCACAGGGATGAATGCAGGTATTCTTCGTAAAAGTACTTGTTTGTAATTTTTATTACTTATATTCTAATTAGTAGAGCGTACTTACAGATTCATCTTCTTGTTGAACTCAATTGGTTTGGGACACCTATGCTATCGATTGGGAACACTACGTGGGCGTAAAATTCTGCGAACGGATGGAGACGTGTCCATTGACAACCTAGTTGATAACTTTCAGTTCTTTCCATCGAATTTTGAGTATGCGTTGACAGGATGGCTGTGTGGATTGTTAATGGAGAAAATGGGATTGCCAAACGCGGGAGAATGGTGCTTTGGAATGTTGCGCCGTTTACAGTGCAATGCACATGCATTAACGGAAGTTAGCGTTGAATCTTCTGAAGGTGGTGATTTGTCTGGAATAGTACAAGAGCGTATTGGTGGGGGACTCTTCCCTGCTGTGTCTCTGATTAACCACGCATGCGAACCGAATATCACATACCAGTTCTTGGTGAGTTTCATCCATAGACGCACTTACCTTGACTTTATTTAGAATGGCTTTATTGTAATCCGTTGCATCAAAGATCTTAAACCAGGAGATGAAATCTTAGCATGTTATGGACCTCATTATCTTCGCCATCCTGATTCAGAGTTGAGGAGAAAGGCCCTCAACGAACAATATTTTTTTAATTGTAATTGTAGGCACTGTTGCCGTGAGGAGAATAAACCTGTTGAAATGTCTTCAGAAACTACAGAGGAATGGAACAAGTTGGTTGATCAGGTACTAAAAAGGTTTCTATCAACTTACCAGGTTTTTTTTGTTCATAGGTTCGGGATGAAAATACCCTTATATCTAAGTACAAACCCCTATTTGGTCGATTGAAGACGTTATCTTCTATGAAATCATTCGGAAATTTTCAACCCTCCTACGGTGAAATAGCTGATGAAATTGCCCAACGATTGTTGAACCAGACTCTGGCGACGGCTTCTTTCCGGGAGAGTCGGGAAATTGTCATCTACCTAGTTAACGAATCGACAGAATATGTGAGGAAACGCTTTGGAGTCAACAGTACTGAATACGCCTGGGAATTGGTTAAAATGTTAAGTGTTGATAAGGCCTTTGGATTGGCTAGCAAGGCGGAAGCGAAGGCGTCTGTTCGAAGAATAATCACCATCCACTACGGCCAGAGAGAAGCGAAGAAAATCCTAAGTTGTGAAAAATTGCGAGATATCTTCGAATAATGGCGCCATCTAAATACAATTTTCTTCCTTCGCTTCTTTGTAAATAAATACTTAGCTTTTCCTATTCTATATTATTTTTTCTCGTTGCTGCTGAATGTTTACTTATATATTATATTATATATTTTATTTAAGCGAAGAGGTCTTTGTAATTATTCTCACACAATTAAGATTGTATGAAATAGACACTATATTTATTTAAAATTCTGTATGCCTAATACTTTCGTAAAACTGTCTGACGTGTTCTTATTACACTTCTTTTTAGACAAAAAACGACATATTCCATCAAGCGGATAAGGAAATGATATTCAATAACCATATTAGAGTTAATCTAAAATTGATTTCGCATTTCAGACATATAAACAAGCTAGGGTGTATGTTGCATTTTATATTATACCAAATTTCTTAAGAAAAGTAATTGATGCTATTCAACCTAAATAGATATCTCAAAGGAATAAAAGTATAGTCAGGATACAATGCGTTATTCAATAAAAGGCATAATATAATTATGACTACAATTTGCATGTTATTAAATGTATTTTTGAGAATTAAAAGATTTAAAATTGAAAATATATCGGTATTTAGTGAATAAAAGTATTAAGTCATAGCTTAATATGAATAGAGGCCTACGAGACAAGGACATTAGCTCGTTTCGTTTTCGTATATTATAGTTTACTATGCTGAATCTCGGATTTGCTGCAATCCCAACGTTTATTCGCAAAATCAACGCAAAGCAAGTCGATAGCGTTAAACCTGTTGTTATTGGGTACGTTTAGCTATACAACCTCTTTCTCAGTTTTTTACCTGTTTTATCGCTTTCCTGTTTCCCTTAAAATTAACCACTTCACTGTAAATATAATGCGAGTGTCCATATTTATAATTTTATATTTAACATAAAATTATTTCTAATGATATAATCAATAATTTTTTGTTAAACATGCAGTTGCTACAGAATGTATGCCGGCGACGAACTCGGTCGCGGTGTTCAGAAGGTAAGTAGCATTACAGCGTAATACGGTTTAGCTTACAAATATATATAAACCTGAAGATATATTTTTAATAGGGCGGTGGTAAAGGTGGCCATGTGCGTGATGCCGGTGGCTCTCTCGGAAAACGTGAAGCTGCTCTTGAGGAAGAATATTTCTATCGCAAGGTATATATGGCAATTAAAAATCAACTTTATTAAAATTTTTAAATTTTTTCCCGTTTTATTCTATTTCATAGAACATGGAACAATTGAATGACTTTAAAAAGCACCTTGAAGACGAGGTCAACTTCCACAAAGAACAGATTGAACGCCACAAGGTAATTGCAAACGTACTTATTACTACACCTTATTTTAACTCCATATCCCTATCTTTTGTTGTACTTATAGGAAGCCCTAAAGAGAAGTCTTAAAGAACTAGATGAAATCGACTAAGCTCCCCCCTTAAATGTAATAGCATAAGCTGCTCGTTCACTTTGCATGCTCTCGCGTCTGTTTAACATCGCGCACACAAGCTTTTGAGATAGTGTATTTTTAATGTGTATCTATCTGATTTTATTTACATTTTAGGCTGCTATAGAACGTCATAAGAAGTCATTGGAGAAGTTTCATTAGTTTGTGAACTTCTTCTACGTTCCTCCTTTCCCTTCATTTGCTACTTAAATCAAATAATCATATCCCTATCCCACTTTGGGTGTTTATAGTTTATTAGTCGATTTTGTTCTACCTGAGAAAATAATACAAATCATTTTGTGTATAAATTCGGCTTTCTATACTTTTGGTAACTAATGCTATTATTATGGATCTCCACTGAATTAATCCTACTTTGAGAATTTGCGAGACTATCTTGTCCTTTTTATTTAGCCTAGAAGTGACCCCGCATTTGTGGCTATTTCACGTTAGAACACATTTAAAAGTGCCACATCGGACCAGCCTCCCTCCCTCCTTCCTCTAAAAAGAAATAGTTCGCATCTGAGGTCGATAACGGTTGAATACCTACAAAAATATCACTCGTAGGTAGTCACGTTTTACTTACCATAGTTTAGAAAAATCATCACATGATAATACACTTAAAATTTTCAAATAAATTCTTGAATTTTATAGAGGTATGTCAAAGCGCCTAAAATTCCACTCCTCATTTTAATTAACTTAATTTCCAGTGTGTCACACATGAAACTTGCCCTATGCCGAATGATGTAATTGTTTAGCTTATTTAAATTGAGCATTATATGTAATAGTCGTTGTTTCAATATGCTATAAAAGTCCGAAAATGAGCTAATTGCCTTATAATTTTGAGTTGACAGCGAAAAATTACAACTTTGTGAAGGCGTGTTAGATCAATTTCCGTTTATTCGATGTAGTCCATTTGAAATTAACCAACTTCCGAAGGAAAAGCGTTTAATCCTAGTGAGAGCATGAGGGCTGGGAACCCCCCCCCCAACCCACAAATGAGTTCGACACAGCTCTCACGATCTGTACTTCTTCGGTGAATATCTTTTTCTTGGTTCATAATTCCTGCCTTTTGACTTATAAGTCAAGCTTGCACTAACAATCTTTCTAAACGTGATCGCAAAAAATGATCAAATTCATTTTGCATACAAAGAAAAAATTGACTGAGGGCGGATATTGACTCAGTCACTCATGACCTACATAGTTCTTTGCCATTAAAGCGCCGTTGGAGAAGTAGCGGTTAACGTGCCCCTCCACTTTTAGTGACGGACTGCGGGTTTTTGCCTTGACTAAATCTTGACAATCTCTCTTGTATTAAATAGTTCACGAAATTACTAAAGCTACTTCAAAATCAAGGGAATGGAGCCTATGGGGCGAATATGGCCACTGGTATAGACTTAGTCATTAAGATATATTTAGAACTGTGGTAACAGTGGAGTGACTATCGATTACCTGTTGACTGTGGCGTCTCTGTACTCCCGACACACTTGTTTCTTTACACGATCAGCAATGCGGCGCACCTTGTTTAGCGGTGGTGGGTTTGGGGGCTTCATAACGCTCTTTTCAAAAAGAACAATAGAATACAAGGGTATGTCAAAAATTCTCAGGCAAATGGCATAACTTTAAATAGAACAAAGCTTTACAGGTTCAAACCTATGTTTAGGGCTTTCTTAATAACATACAACTGTCCGGTCGTCCTATGTAAGGTCAGGATCAAAATAGCTAGCAATTGTCAACCCTTCAAAAGTGCTATGGAGCTGAAAAAATTTGAACTGGAATCAGTTGATTATCATATATTGTTACTATTGTATGCTGAGATTTTATCCAAATGGAATGCAACCATTTCACATTGATGCTGCCTGAAGTCAAAATAAACTTCCTACTAATTCCTAGCAGTAGTATGGCAATTTTATATGTTCTGAAATGTAGTATTCATCTTGGCTCAAAATCCGCACCAAGTTCCTGGTACGTTGCCTCAAGTTGACGAGAAAGGAAGGAAGGATCTTTTGAATTCAAGGAGATGTGTCATTCGGTTTCCCAGACAGTTCGAAAAGTACAGACGAAAAGTCGATTAGACAGTTAATCATCAAGTCTTTCCACTCTTAATAGTGCAAAGTGCGTTTAGTGCTTTCATAGCTTTCCTTTAATATCCTCTTATGAGAGTTTATTATTTTCAAGCCTTTAACAATCTAATATATGCCTTCTGAAATGAATTGAATTTCACGGGAGCGCTGCTGACATTTCTACCTCGTGTCATTTCCCTGTTAATCTTATTAATTACACGAATTTCAAATAAAAAATTGAAATTGCTTTATATTTTATTGGAATCTAAATATTCAGAATCCGTTAGATCTTTCTTAAAAGCCTCAAATTGTGTTTTAACGCCTCTTTGTAAGCTTGCGAATTCCAGTATATATCTACTTGCATCCAGCACACACACACATCAGATTAGACCCTCACGAAATTCGGTCAGCATTTTTAAGTAATTTGAATATATTTATTTCGAATGGCAGGCATTTTAATAGTTATCATTAGCCCTTAGCTGACTTCGAACTTCACAGAGGGGAGAAACATCAAAGTTAGAAAAATTCAAGAGGGTGGACCGAAGAGTGATTTGCAGATGTAAAAGGGGCAGACACAATGGTAGGGAGTAGGGTTAGGTTAGTACTGTAGAAGTGGTCGACTATGACATACAGTGAGGTCATGGTAGTTTGAAGTCAGAAGTCAACTACCGGTTAATTTACTTTTTTGCCGTATGAGTATACGTTGCCCAGGGTGCACCACGTGGAGGAAGGTCTATCGCACACCCCGTAATTTGAATATATAAACGATACAAAGATAAGGGATTTTGACTTTGCGAAAAATATCCCAGGCACAAACGCTGAAGTACCATTTTTAAGAGGAAAAAATATTAGCAAATAAATCTCTCTCTCCCCCTAGTAAAACCCTACAGCTGGTTTGCATTTTGGGAATGATGTATCTTGCAAGAGCATGCCTCTTTTTTGCGTATTAACCTTCAGCAGGTTCTACCGAATTGTGTAAATCCGGGTTGACAAAGGGGAAGAGCCGTCTAATGATTGGTGATGAGAGTGAATATGAACGAGATGCCATTTTTTATCAACAATAGAATGAAGCAGAGTGCATTAATAGTAGTAGAAGTAGTAGTAAATGTAAGCTAATAGCAGGGAATTTTCCCCCAAGAATCGTCCTCCTGAACACCTACTCAGATAAAGAGAAATGTGTCTGCATTCCAAATGGATTTTTTCTTTGCTTAATACCATCCCAATCGCCACGACTAGGTGAGTCAAGACATTGAGTCAATGAATTGGGACTCATTTCACATTGAGATCTAAGGAACCAAAAGATAACCCCAACTCCATCGCTCTCATTTAACGTAGGCGGGGGGGGGGGGGGGGAACTTTAATCCCAAGTTTCCCTTCCAGGGCTTTCGTTTCCCATTTGGGAGATTACTTAAACGGAGCTATTCGATTTCCTTTAAAAACTGGCTGGCTAACAGACTACTCCCATTTGTATTATTTATGATAATTTGAACAATTTGTGTGTATTCAGCGTTGATACATGATCCTGACTGCCTATAAGTTACCTGAAAATAACAAAAAAAACAGTCACAATTACATCAAGTTAATTCCTCCATATCTGTATTGTTCGATTGGAAGTCACAATCAGGAATGTCTCCTACTGAAAAACCATTTTATCATCATATCTTTTGCAACTTTATATAATGATTGAGAGTATAGTGAGGTTCAGAAGAATATATCTCGAGGAATGAGGTCAGTCCGGACACTATAATTACCGGCGCACTTTTATGTCACTTATGGGACAAAAACAATTTTATGATTTCAAAATATGTCAAAACAGGTCAGAGAACTGCTAGAAAGTGCATATAACCACGGTGTTGAACATTAGCAATTTCGGTCCGGGCATTCAAGAAACCCCTGGTAGTCTTTGTCCAAAGACTAAATTGATTATTTTTGCTTGCCCTGAGTTGAGCTCATAACAATTCTGGGAATTAATTTTCTATTATCAAATGGAAGGCGTTTTGATAGTTATCATTAACACTTTCGCTGACTTTGGGCTTTACTGAAGGGATGAACATCAAGTGATTCACAGATGTGGAGGGGGAAAGACAGACAAAAAGGTAGAAAAAAGGTGAGGTGAGTACTGTCGAAGTGGTCGAATATGACATACAGTGGGGTGATGGAAGTTTGAAGTCAGAAGTCAACTGCCGGTTTATAGACTTTTTTTTCGTATGAATATATGTTGCCTAGGGTGCACCACGTGGAGGTAAGTCTATCGCGCACCCCTCCTCTGGGAATTTATTTATTTCAAATGACAGGCTTTATGATATTTATCACTAGCCCTTAAACTTTGACTTCAGCTTCCCCATGGGTGGGTAGTACATTTATAGCAGTTCATTAGCTGTCTTCTTGCTTCCCAGTATCTCTGGCTTTCCGTCGTTGTCTTTAGGGCTGGACATCGAATCAGGTGGGTCTTCTCCATTTCCTCCTGTAGGTTTCATAGGGGGCATGTGGGTTGAGTGTATACTCCCAATCTGTGAAGGTGTTTTGCCAAGCAATCGTGTCCGGTACGCAGTCTAAACTCAGCAACGGGAATTTAATGTGTGGCAAACACTGAATTTACCAAGCATTACCATCACCCCCCTTTGCCTTAAAATAATCTCTTCACAGTGACGTGTTACTGACTAGCAAGCACGAGATTCAATTTGAACATTTCAATTTCAATCATGATCAAATTGGTATTAAATATAAGCTTGAAACAAAAATTAGTTTCCTGCGAAATAACTACGCAAGTTCTCAACACTTTCCATACGGAACAAGCTTTCAATTAATCCTCTCTTAATGGGGACAGTTCTGAGTTTTGAGTAAAGTGAAAAAGTCATTGTCACTCTGGGTCGCTTTAGAAAGGTAATCATCTTCATTTTTTAGTTCATTTGATGTGATTTA